TTTTCATCACCGCTTTTATCAATGGATGACAACTTGAGTGATGACTCATGCAGCGACGCCAAATAACAGAGAGTATCCGATTAAGATAAGTTTAATGCGCTAAAATTTTGAAGGGAGATTTAACAGAAATTTTTTCTTATGCTAAAAAAGATTTTGTTAATGATACTCATAGGACAAACATTATATTAGTGCTATTTGAATTAAGAATAAGATTTGTTATTCACATAAGCCAGAAACCGTGCCAGAGCTCGCATGGCCACACCAGCGGCAGAATTTAGCGAGTTAAACAGAAGTTCATTGCGATGACAATGCCCAATCATCAATCAATTAACGGAGGGCGAATCTGTAGTATGGTTCTAAATCCAGAAAATACGCTCCGATCTGAAGAAAGTAAAAGAGGTTACTGAACGAGAAAAATTTTGATGACAAGTTATTCGGAATTCTCGACACAGCAATTAGGACTTAAACAATGGAACTTAATAATGAACAAAATTATAGTCTTATATAGTCTAAAGTATTAGCACGAAACAAATCAACAACTCACATCAAGAAATGTTTAATAAAGAAAATAAATATTACGCTCTTTTTCTTTTGTAATTGATACCCTTTAAATCATAAATCACGTTCCATATTTTCAATTTTATAATTTCTACGTGCCATCTTAGTAGATTAAAGATCAATATCCGGAAAAATCTCAATATTGGATCGCCGAAGTCCCGAAGAGTCAGACTCGGACTTTGTACTACTTACAGTATGGAATGCACACTTTTAAAATAATTCTACTTTAATTAAATTAGGAGATAATATAATCAATTAATCAATAGGTAGGAAATAAATTATATATATATATATACGGAATGTTATTTTCATTAACTTCTACCCATAACTTTAGTAATTCATGAATTAATTTTGCGTCTAGTTAATTCAGGAAAATAGTTTCAATTAGTTGTTTTAGCTTTAAAATATTAAAAAATTTTTAATAATTCAACTAATAATTGTATCGCCATTAGCAAAAATTATGCATTACTATCAACAACATAGGTTTAAACCAAATACTTAATTTTGTCTATTGAAGCTTCAAAACATATTCCGAACTTCACTTTTCTCGGCTAGCGTTACCGAATTTGCCTTGGCGACCTAAATTGAAATGGAGCCAACAGATTTCCCACGAAATTGATAACAGACCTCTGCAGAAATAAACTCATGATCCCGATATCCTATACATATATGTGCAAAGAGAAAAAAACCCGTAGGTGGGTGATAAACAAAATAAACAATGAGTTTAACTGAATTAATTAAATTTTTAACATTTTTATATGAACATTTATATTGATTTTGTCATTTTTATATTTGATAATTATTTAACATTATTTACAAATTATCAAACAATTTCTAAACCGAGGTTTGTAAAGTCATTCCACAAGTGCAAGAATCTGTTAAATTAAAGTAACTGTATGGTGTACTAACCGTATCCAAGATAACTTATATAAAATATCCTTTGCTTCCTGGCATAAGAAATGTATTTTCCATGTTTTTAGAATTTCACCAAACAAGAAATATACAATTGAAGATTTTAATAGAGTAACTTCAGATGGAAATTTTAATTTCCCCCTATCTAATTCTTAAGAAACCAAAAATATCATCTGCTGTATCTATGAATGAATACTTTGCAACCAGTCCTGTCAAATATTGCATTTTTATCACCCTTAATTTTTTTTTCATGGCATCATAACCTGAAACATAAATAGCACTGCTAAAACACAGAAGAAACATTTTCTATAAAAAATATTAATTAGTAAATTTGAATAATCAATAATATTCGCAAAAGTAAAGATAGAATCCTTATCATAATCTGGTAAAAGGGACATTCATATTGATTGAAATTATAATATTGTTTTTAAAATGAAGCTTCTTCTCATTTTCTAATAATTGTAGGTCATTTATTAAATAATCTGAACTGACATTTGCCGATACATTTCAAAACGTGATTCAGGAGCACTGAAATTTTCCTAACAATATGTATTCAGCTTCATACTTTTGAAACAAACAGGAATCAATTGAATGCATCTGTAATTGTATAATGACTGAAAAGTTTGTGGTGATAAAGTTTTTTTATTGAGACAGAATGTCAATATGCTATAAAAAGAAATAATCAAAACAAGGAATTCCTAATTTACTATTCCAAACAAATATCAAAACAACACTATGCGAAACGTCCAAACTAAAGTATTCGATGTTATGTGAAAACGAAATACTTGAAAAGGATTGAGAACAGCTACAAATTTTCCCAAATAAATCTAAAAATTAAAAAAGTATAAAACGAAGTATAGATAAAAATATTATTTACCTTAGCATAAGTGATTTAAAATCACTTAATAGCAAAATATACATCCAAAAAATCCACGACCACGGGTTCACAACCACACACTACCACAAAAATACATCGACCATCTTGATCATGTGACTTTTGCGCTTCAAGGCCATTATAGAGTTGGCTGTGATGGCAGCTAATCAGCTGTCGGCACGACTCTGCTTTCCAGATGACATAACTTTGAGTTTCGTTTTTGTATCTTAAGTTAAGCTGGAACAGTCCGTTCTTAATACAAACAGTGGCAGTGAAAACGAAGTAGAAATAATTGCTATATCCTTTAAAATAAAAACTAAACCTCATGTAAAAGTTAGAATTATTTCAAGGAGGAGAGGATGATGCAGGAAAAGGGGTTACAATAGGTAATATTTTCAACACTTTCAAATGGTATGCAGGCTTTCGCAATGGCAGAAAGCACGGAAGATTACCTGCACAGCGGGTGACCCATCACAAAATGAATAGAAAATGAGGTCACAAAAGTCCACGCTTTGGTGACTGCAGATTGCCAAAAGACCCTTAGGATGCTTGGGGACAAGTTAAATATGGGCAAGGACATGGTGAACAAGATTTTGAGGGAGAATTTTAGGAAAGGGAAAGATTTGTTTGTGGTTTGTGCTGCATTATTTGGCAGCAACAATGCAGAATGGAAGCTTGTGGGAACTCAATCGACACAGCTGACCGAGATCTGTCGTTTCTGCAATCGATCGTGACAGGCAATGAATCCTGGTGTTACCAGTATAATCCCGAAACAAAAACACAAAAGTGCCGAATGGAGATCAGAATGGAGAAAAGATTCCGTTTCTAGAAGTCAAGAGTGAAAGTCCTGTTGATCACTTTCTATGATGCACATGGATTGATCCATCACGAGTGTGTGCCTTTGTAAAGAATAAATTACTTTAATAAATAAAAATATATACCTAGCATTAGAAAACTTAAATCTCAGCAGTGGAAAAAGCGTACATGAACTTTCAAAATAAAAATAATTCACTTATAAGTCCATCTTGTGGCCCATGTTCAGTTATACTTGTCTAATCTGGGGATACTCATGTAAATCTTGCAGTAAAAAGTTGCAAACTGCCCAGAACAGTGTTCTGAGGCAGATGAACATTATTCATGAGGAGCTTTTTTCTATCAAACTCTAAACCTAGCTAAAAATTTTTCATTGTTGTATGCGAAACAGTATCATAACTGAGCTTCGAATTTACAATTATGATTATAACCATGTGCAAAACATGAGACGGCCTACGGACTTTTAAACACTGTATGAAACCTCACAAACATTGTTAGCAAAGCTCGTAACATCTTATAAATAAATTCATGATATGAACAATTATTCGGAATGTAACTCATTCATAAGTGTAGGGTATTATTCAGAATGTAACTCATTCATAAGTGTAGATTATCTGTTTATGAATATTAATTCATGGTCTTGTAATTTGTATACATCGGGACAAAAAACTCGGTACTTACATTTTTTTTAAGCAAATAATTACTGTTTTCAAAGAAATTCATCCGCTAGCAAATTTATGAGTAAATTAAGTCCCAAGTAAAATACTGATTATAGCCATTCTTTAGATTTTTTGGGGGGGGAAGTCTCACAAAAACTCATAATTCCAATCTATGCTGCTTAATTTAATGTAAATTGCTAGCTGATGAAAATTACTTTTTTTGTTGCGTTCACGCATAAAGGTTTTAAAACAATTGAAAAAGTCCATTTTCTGTGAAATTAAATGTTCCTTTTATTAAATGCACAATATAATAATCAAGTCATTTTTCATATGCAAATTAAAGTACCAAATTCCAAATTGATAACATCAGGTAGATGGAAAAGGTCATGATGGAATGCATTTTATAGTTTTGTATTTGTAGTATAGTTAAATATGTTAAACTAATTAACTAGTAAAAAGTAAATTAAAATTATAGCAAGTAAACTAGTTATATTAATAAGTATATTTCTTCAAATATTATAACCGCAAATTGAATTCAAACTCTTTTCCTAATCCTGAATTCATGATAAAAAGAAATAAAAACTATTACACTAAATACAGTTATTTTTCTGTATTCTTTTATACATTGTAAACAGTTTAATATAGTACTTTTAAACGTATGTGTGTTGATCTGGTGAAGGTTCACAAATGTGCAATCCCCTTATTACATCATTATCAAATTTTCATCATCATATTAATTAATAATAATGCTAATTATTGTCAATTGTACATTGGTATTAAATCTGGACCTAAAGTCCATTCTAACAACATCAATGATATGAATGTCAGATGAATTTTGGATAGTGCCAGCTAAGATGAGCTATGAAAAAAAAAAAAAAAAAAGATGAATTTTGCATAATAATTATTACTTTGAAATTATGCTCGTAATTTATTTGTTATCAAATACAAAACAATTTAAATTAATATCTGAACTACAATTAAAAACAAATAATAAAATTAGACATCTAATTCTCGCATATAATACATATAATATATATAATACAGATAATATATATAATACATATAAATATAAAAATAATACAGATAGATTTTTAGACATTTTTTAGAACTACACACATGTAGAAAATATCAATAAAGTTCAACTATATTGAGTCTTTTAGGTAAAATGACACAGCACAGCCTCCTCATAATTAAAATTTGGGTTATAATGTGTAACATTGACTACAATAAGCACTCTTCACATAAAGCACAATATAATTACATTTCTAAATAAAATTTTGATTTTAAATTATGACCACTTCTTTATTTCTTGCCTAGATGAATTATGCCCCTTTGTGCGATGACTTCCTTCGCAAGCTCGTCCTTTGGAAATGACTAATCCGTTTTGACGATATTTTACTGAAGTTGATGACCATTTCTGAGCAAGACCAGTACTTCCTTTACATAATTACAAAAAGAAAAAAGTTATAAGAATGACTGAAAAACAAATTTAAAAAAAGATTTATTTAGAAATACAGACTGAAGAATTTCTCTCTCTCTTTCAAACACACCAAAAATTAAATTGTGAGGTTGAGATGACAATAAAAAGGTGCACAACACACACACACATATATATATATAAATTAAATTGATTACAAACTGAAACAAATTGTTTTTAAAGATTTAAGAGTTTGTAAAACAGGATGTCACATACATAAGCATCCTTCTTTTCCATCATGAATGGCAGTAACTACATTGCTTGTTTTTTAATACATTTTCACATTTATTTATTGATATTTAATTACAGTATGCATACCTACCAACCTCTAAAGATAAAAATTCAGAAGATTTCTTCCCCAAATTCAGAAGATTTCTCCAAAATTCAGAAGAACACGAAGAATTAATATCATGCTTTGATATTAAAAAAATAACAATTTATACAAATAGAAACAAGAAAATTGTACTTGCATTAGTAAATCTCAATTAAGTAGTAACTAAAAAATTTATTAGGAAACATAAAACAAGAACTTAATGTTACACAAAAAAAATTATTGCAATGAATTTAGAGTGCATTTTTTGGCTTTAGCCAAAAATTTTTTGGAAAATTTCCTGTCATAACAATTAGTTTCCTCATAACATTTAGCAATTAAAATGTTTTCTAGAGTTTTTGGTGAAATTGAAGAACGAAACATAGTTTTTGTTTTTCTTTACAACTCTGAAGACTCTCTCGCACTCAGCATTACTGTGTGGAATTACAGCTGCAGCTTTTTCTGCTGCCAAATTAATTAAGTGGCATGGGCATCCAATAACAATTCATTTTGTTCTTTTTTGAGGAAAGAGGCTACACCCTTTTTGTCACCCACCATGACATGAGCATTATCTGCACCAAATGAAATGCAGTTTGATATTGGGATGTTAAGTTGTTTCAACTCATTAATTACCAAGGAGGCAATATTTTTCCCCGCAGCGTCTCCATTTAACAATGAAAGACGCAAAAGATGAGTTTTCATTTCATTAGAAACATCACAGAAATATGTGACAACGATGGGGTAAAGCTTCCAATCGCAGTCGTTGCTACCATCGATTGACACCGAAAATGCTGAATTCTGGAGTGCAGCTATCGTTTTACTTTGTGCATCGCAAGCAGTTTCGTTCACAATAGAAGATGTTTTCGTGCGAGCACAAGCATATTTCTGAGCAATCTTGGAGTCGGGAAACATCCGTCTGAAAAATTAACTGGCATGATCGGCAGCGCTTAGCGGCACGTTATGTTCGATGAGGAATGCAATAAACAAACACTCTGCCAAAATGACATCAGCATCCGAATTCGTAGCCGAATTTGAAAAAAAAATCATCCACTTTCTTTGACGTTGTCGAAGCCGAAGCATTAACTTCATGCTTTTTAAGACTTAACATGTTTCACAATGTCGCTTCTTCCACCGTGACTTATTATGAAGTAACACACGCACACGTTGCAAAATGCATAGTTATTTCCTTTGAAGGATTCTTTAATTGTTGGAAATTCGGCTTTGTAGGCAGGCCGAAAATATTGAGAATACGGTTTTTTTGAACTCATTTCGTAACAACAACGTATTAAGGAAAATTCGTAGCACGTGCAAACAAAAAAAAAAAATTAAAAAAAAAAGAAAAAGAATGCGACAATCCACGCTCGCTGAGTCCGAGCTGAGTAATTCCCTTGCTGTTGAAGCGAACGCGAAAAAAATAATCTGACGCCCACAAAGAAAAGATTCGGAGAAACAAGTTCAGCGCATTGGATTGGCTGGTTAAGCGGCGAGTTGGGAGAAACCGCAGGTTATTGGATTCGAAGTAGTCGGCGGTAAAACACGATGCTATTGGCGAAAATCGCTGAATTGGCGAAAAATTCTAAAATTTCGACAAAAATCACTAAAAACACTTGAAAAAGGAAAAAAATCGTAAAAAATGGATTACGATCGTAAAATCGTAAAGACAAACGCATTTTCGTAAAATTACGAAAAATTCGTAAAAGTTGGCAGGTATGAGTATGTAAAAACTAATGGCCTTCTAACATATACATATTTTTGGTCACATCTGTAGTATTGATTTCAAAATTAGTACCAATTTTGCCATAGAAGCTCTAGTTCTAAACAGCAAGACAGCATCCAATATAAGTTTAGCAGATTAAATAGCTGCTAATTTCGAAATTTTAAAAATTGGGAAGTTTACATGAGAAAACCAAGAGAAACTGTGAAGTTTCCATGCCGTGTGGCAACACCATTTCAAAGGAACTCTAAACTGACTTTAATTCATTTTATATTGCATGATTCAGATTACTGAATTATTTGCAATTCAACTCTGAAGTAAAATATATTGGATTCTATAAGTTTTGTGTTATTTGATTAATTTCATTTTTTAATTTTCTTACACCTTCTATACTCAGAAAACGCAGAGTAGTGAACGAGTCTTCTTTTTTAATACAAATTCACTTCTGAATGTATTGGAAATAGAATTAACAATTAATGTGCATAGATTTTGTAGTAATGTACCATATATTGAAATAAAATTAAATGTGAATATTAACTGATCAAAACATTGCTTGAATCTTCATGTAAAAAATTTATAAATATCTACAGATTAATAATAGATGAAATTTAATGAGACAAAGATCAATAAAATATAATAATAAAAAGTACAGGCTTTAAAAGAAATAAAGAAACACTATTCTGAAAATCATTAGAGGTTTCGTTTGGTTTATTTGATTATGGCAAAGCACTTGATGGCTATCGACCAAGGGAAAGGATGTTTTGGGGAAGGACTTTTTAAGGAAAACCGGTTTATATACACGTTACATGAAATTCTGAGAAAAACCACAAAAATGCCTAGGCAGCCAGCCTGTTTGCCAGGATTCGAACAAATCCTTCTGCGGATTTATGGCTTGTCTGCTTATGCACATGCACTGGAGTTTACCTAATTTCAGTTTTATTAATTCAATAAATTTCATTTATTGCTGGGAAACATTTTCCTTCGTAAAAAGCTAAAAATTAAAAAATCAGGAGATATCATGAAAAACCAGAATAGTTAGCAGCTGTCACACTGTACAGAATTTTAATGAATACATGGATTAACTGGAATATATAACATATATATTAGCATTATACATTAAAATATTAATTAATCACATTTCTGAAAGTAAACTTCTAATATACTTATTCAAATAAATGTCAAAATATTTCAAACTTAATAATTACTTGTGCTAATTTTGTCAGCAAAATTTTAAAGATACAGTAAAACTACCCCCTACGTAAATTGAAATGTGTGTATCTGCATTCATATGCCTAGGCACAATAATATACAGAGTGTCAAAAGGACATCTGCAATTAAGTGTATTGTTTTATTAAAATACACAATTACATATCTGGCTCAAAGAGTCCATGAGAACTACACTGATGTGCTTTAAGCAGTAAGATAAAAGTACCCATTTACCAATCAATATTTTATTAAAGAAGCAGAGGATTTTCTTAGTGACAAAACTGTTTGTAGGGAAAACAAATTGTTTCAGTCAAAGGAAAATATAAACCTAGAACAGTTTTTTTATGTAATGAACTAATTTTAGCATCTCTTAATATTCACTGGTCTGTCATGCACTTGTCTGTACTCATGCAAATCAAGAGCTACATTAATGCACAGAAAGGGGAGAAAAACCATTTTCTGGAGTATGTTTCACCATTTGACATTCAAGTTAAGGGAAAGTGTAGTCTTATTTAGTTTTGGCTTTTATACAAAAGAAAATGCACACTCATTTAAAAAATATATTTATATATATAAAAGGCACTAAAATTAAAAATTTAGTACTTTAGAGGGAAAAAGAACCTATATGAGCCTTCATAATTTATTTTCAAATATAAGGATTAATAAGCACTCGTAAGCCACACACCCTGTGTAAAAGCTAAGTTGCAAGAACATCACTCATGTAAAATTACATGCAATTTAGGCATAAATACAGTGTAATTTTTTCAAGTTTTATTGGTGCACAACTTGATGACATAGCTTTAAAATATTCAGTAATATGAAATAATTAAAATGCCATTAACCACGAAGAAAGCTTATAATGCACATATACAAATAAAATAATAGCAGAATTAGAACATTTTAAACACTATGACTTACAAAATATAAAAATTCAGACTTTGGGCATAGTACCTAATTATAAAGAACAATTATTTTCAAGAAATACTATATATTATCAAACAACATACGCTTTTATCCATACGGACTTAATATTTGCATTTAAAATCACAAAGATCATTCCAATAAATCTGTATATTCAGCCAATTTAAACTCTACAGCACCAAAATGCAAAGAGGCAAAAGAGGAAGTAGAATCAACAATAAAAGATATTTACTTTGTATACAATTAAATTGATGAAGCTATTAAAAAATTATTTTGATTCTGAAAACTTCCCCAAGAAACAAATTACCTGGTTACACTCTTGTAATAATAAATTTATTTTAATACTTGGAAAATATTTTCTTGCACAATACAATACAATCATCTACAAATTATTAAAGACCTAGTTCTTGATTTACTGTAAATACTAATACTAAACACAAAATTTATATTAAAATCAATTTTCTACATCCATAGTTTGTCACTTTACATTTCTCTGATATTTTCAACAAATGTTTTCTTCCTAGCTAGAGACATCAGACTAGTAGTTGCATTTAAATATATATATAACCATTAAGCAGCTTACTTACTAACCACCATGAAATAGCAGAGTCGGCTAAATGACATTGCAAATTGCGTAAATTCAGTCCATATGCAGATGATCATCACCAGCACATAATTACTGGAAACTTGGATATCATTCAAAACGAGCAGCTTAAAGAACTTGCGAGTTATGAAGTATAGACCAGTCAGACACGTCAAAAAAAATTACGGTTACAAAAATTTAGAAAATAGCATTAACGAATTTATCGTTACGGCCATCTATCAGATTAATTTACCTATTGATACATTTTTAAAATGGAAAGATGAAATCTTTAGATAAATTACTACTGAGCTAATACTAATAAAATTTCAAAGTCAATTAAATTGGTCTCAACTACTGTGAGCTATTAAGAATTTACGAAAACTCTTCACTATTACCAAAACTGATAAAAGCAAACAATAACTTTAGTATTCTATGAAAACTATTCTACACAACAATTATTAGTAAAGAACTCTAACCCAAATGCTTACAAACACTACAAAAACCTGCATAATTAACAGAATTAAAACTTTTCATAAAAAACTTTATATCACTATCAATCCCACGGTTCAACAGATTTACTAACATGTATACTCTTCCAAAATTCCATAAAACACCACTAAAATTCAGATTCCTTGCAAATGGCACAAATAATTACAAGAAAATCTAGACCAATCTAAATTTTGAACTTCATCTTTAAAAAAATACATATATATAAAAAAATTAAAATTATTCTTCAATGCTTGTAAAACTCAGCATAAATATTGCTGGATCATACAAAATATTAACTGGTATGACTTTGAAAACTTATATACCCCTACTTCCATTAGAAGAAATCTATACTAGCCTCCTTAAATCTGCCTAAACTCTTTCCTGCTATGCTTACAGTTACAGAACTTGAATAGATGGAAAACCTTCCTCAAATGCACTACTTTTCATAACACCATTAAATTTCAAAATCAACTTTTTAAGAAAATCAGGGGTAACCCAATGAGTGTGCACTCAAATACTTCCGTCTGTAATATCTTTTTATTCATCAAAGAATTTACCTTCTAAAAAAACTTACATGATTTAACTTACTATGCCCAAACTTACAGATATATAGATGATCGATCTTATTACATTTAATAATTTTAACAAGATCGAAAATTTAGAGATTTACCCAGAATGCCTTACTCTTAATAAAACAAATACTTCACAAAACATAATCGACTATCTAGATCTTAAATAATTAACTACAAAAAGTCCCTACTGTATGACAAAACATGCTACCTCAATTTCAGTACTAAAAAATTCATATAAATTAAACATTCAATATTTCAAAAAAGTTATTGGCAATACTACATTAAATTAAATTAAATACATCACTTTTTATGGTACACAATGCTGTGTACTTTTTATGATACACAATGCTTTTTATGGTACACAATTTTATGATACACATACACATTTTATGGTACACAATGCTGTAGAGGAAGGAGGAGTCTTAATGTGGATATAAAGATTGAATTGAGTAAATGTACGAAAGGTTGAACTGTTAAAAGAAAAAAAAAACATATTGAAAGTGTGGCAAGTGTTAGATATGCGTAAGCACATATTAAATTTTTCTCCTTCCAAGTTAGAACAAGAATTGCTGAAGAAGGAAGATATTGTAAATATGTACTACATTTGTTTATCTATAAAATTTTAAATTTAGTTAAAATGTAGATTAAGATTTTAAAGGTGAACTCGCATGTAAATTTAGAACTTAGCTATCTTATTCAGGCATTTAAAGCCTTGTTATGCGATAATTAAATTCTGGTGAGGGAAATTGTAAAGTTTTCCTTATTTTGCATAACAAATTTATTTTAAGGTGAGTACCTGTTCAACTTCCCCTCACATTCTCAAAATTTTACAGGAAAGATTACAAATATTACTTTCAAGCACGAAGTCCATGCCTTTCTGTTATAATTTCTGTCATAATATTATAAATATAAAAGACAAAACTATATATTGAACTCACAGCAGTGGAATTTCCTAGACGATCTCTACGGTCTAGACGGTCTCTAGATGGTTTTTCAGGTTCTTGAAATTGACTTTCCTCCATACAACAGGTTTCTTTAGTTGTTCTGTTTTCGTTCTCCCTGAAAAAAATAAGTCTATTAATTTTATTATGAATTAAATTTAAAAATATTAAGAAAATTAGTCTAAATTAATCTATTATTAGACTTTCTTCTATTATGTTGCACTTACAGGTAAACTGGGGCATATGGTTGCTATTTGCAAAAGGCAACTTGTACCATAAATGTTGGGATTATACATCTGAAACCAAGAAAAATCACTCAATTATTTTTAATATTATTAATTAAATTTAAAAAATAAAATTCATTAAAAATATTAAATATTAAGAAACTTAGTTCTATTTTTAATAGACTATTATTTTTTTCACTTTCTCCAAATTACATCTCCCCGTGCATTTTCAGCAGTTAAGCCTAATTTTACAAAAAAAAAAAAAAAAATCTTATAAAATCAGCATTTTGATATTATGACTTCAATTTTTGAAGTTGCGTATTTAATGTACTTGTTTTCAATGTGTAGTAATATAAAGAATATCACATTAATAGTAATAAATTAAACAGGAAAATTGCAAAAATCATAACTATACACACAGAAATAAATAATATAAACATGAAAAAAATTTACAAATACGAAATTAAAAAAAAACTAAACAAGAATTACGTGCATGTAATTAAATTCCAGTTTAAAAATTCTGCCGTGTGTGAAATAATTCAAAACGAGGATCGACACCACAGCCCTACATTGCATATTTCGGACTCAAGAAACATTTGCTTTCGCTTTTCCATGGTTTTAGCACATACAACGCATCTTCTCCTACCTTTATTACCTCCTCCGTCGACGTAAATTTTCGGAAACCGTCTTTTTGGACAGAATTTTAAATTCTTAAGTAAGGTCTCTTAGCCATGGCTAACGGAATAAACTGAATATAACCGCAACACATATCACAAAACTTCAAAAGACACTCAGAAATATTTCATCCTCAAACACTGTGAAATACTATTAAGGAAGATCAAGTCGACAGCAGGAAAATGGAAGTTGTAATCAGTAAAATAAGATTGCAAATGTTGGACACGACTCAACTGTTGTACAGGTATATGAAAGCAGAAAATTTTGAATAAAAATTGTTTATATGAAAATTTTATAGAATATATATAAATTTTATGTCAGATAAAATTTTACCTTATTTGAGATTCTTGTCACAAGTATTATGTGGAGGTAAGTTTTGCAATATGGCAAATAGTATTAATTACTTCTATTACTATTGTAATGATGAGTATCATAATCTTAAGATTACGTTTAATAATTTTTTATGTTTAATTGTGTATTTTATGCAATTTTATTAATTATTTTATTTTCACCTACATAAATATCAAAAGATACTATTTTAAGTGTTAAGTTATCATGCCAAAAGTGATTTTATTGCTATATGATTGAAATTTATGTTCCAAAAGTAAAAATTAACTTTAAAAAAAGAAGAAAGAAAAAAAAAGAGCTTTTTCTTAAAGAGCTTTTTCTCAAAACGCTGTTTTTCAGACTTGCCCGCAGGATATCTATGAAACCGCATAAGATACAGCATTGAAATTTACAGCACAAATAAATATCAAGACAGTAATTAAAATAGACTCTAATTATAAAGATATGTTAAAAAATTTTCAGTAAAATTGTACGTAAAAAATTAACAAAAAATTATTTTTAAAAAATTAAAGCTCAATTTTGTTTTTAAAAGTTGAACTAATTAAAAGATTTTACTTCACATGAATAATTAGATCAATAGCTCTAATTTGGCGTTAATTTTCTGCAGAATATGGCGAATTTAAGCAAGTTACCTGCGCTCAAGGAAGCAGTGTATTTCGCTCAATTGTTGGAGTCTTAGAAAAACAGTTTTTAAAATTATTAAACTTAATTTCAAATCCACTAGATATTTTTTTCCAGGCATATCAATGTCTCATCTAATAGCCCTGAAAAAATTATGAAACTAGGCACAACAGTTAGTTTTTTAAAAATTGTGTAGTATATGCTAAATATTTCGTATTTTCTCTCCGTTAAAGGTGTACTGACCCCTTGTTGTGCAGTTTTGTTGTATATAAATACAGGATGAAAGATGAGTTCATGAAGACTCATGTCGTGAAATAATGAAAGAAGAGTTCATGAAGACTCACGTCTGGAGAAGAGTGCAGTTAGATTGCTAAGGCGTTGATTTTTGTAACGTCGCTAAGAACATAGATTAAAAAACACTGATTAGCATGAGGAAAAGAGATTGACAGAGTACGCCAAACTAAAGTCAAAATTAAAGTCTATTTAAATTTATTTCAAAATCTAGTACGAAGTTGGTTAAAAAGACTTATTTCAGTTTTCCCTCGGGAAGAGGACAATATTTGTTTAATTTAGCAAGAAGCTTCCAATTTTATATTTAGTAAAAAATTTACAATTTTGTGTTTAGCAAAGAATCTAAAAAAAGTTGCTTTTGCATTATGCAAGTAATTTTAAAATTTTGTATTAAGCAAGTAGCTTTAAATGTAAAGCAGTAAAGTTTAGCAAATAATCTTTGCAGATTTAGAACGATATGTAACAAATATTACTTTCAAGCACGAAGTCCGTGCCTTTCTGTTATAATTTCTGTCATAATATTATAAATATAAAAGACAAAACAATATATTGAACTTACAACAGCGGAATTTCCTAGACTATCTCTATGGTCTAGACGGTCTCTAGACTGTCTTTCAGGTCCTTGAATATTACTTTCCTCCATACAACAGGTTTCCTTAGTTTGTCTATTTTGTTCTCGCTGAAAAAAATAAGTCTATTAATTTTAAATGTAGGTCGTAGAGACTGTGGTAGGAAAATGTTTGTATGATATCAAGAAAACAAACTCCGTTACTCAAAGTGTTAGAAATTTGTGTATGTAATTAATCTATGCTTATTTTCAGTGGAGTAAAGTAAGAAATTAATTATGTAAAAATGTTTGAATTCTTAAAACCTCGAGGGCTATCTGCCTAAGGGGAGGGATGCCTTCGTGGAGGACTTTCTAAGGGAAACTGGCTCATATACACGTTACACATGGGGAAAACCACGAAAATGCCCATGCAGCCAGCCCGTTCGCGGGATTCGAACCTTGGACCGAACTACCAGTGTTCAGCGACTTTACCGCTCGGCCGCTGGTCGACCCGGGATAAGATGACCTTACAAGATATGCTATCACAGTTTTAGCTGATGATTGCAAGCAAACACTCCTTGAGGCCTGCAACAAGTCATGGAATTCGGGTCTGATTCCTAAGAATTGGAAAGAAGCTATTGTTATTCCGTTTTTGAAACCTGGGGGAGACACTGCGCTGGTTTCCAGCTACAGGCCAATTTCTTTAACGCAAATTCTTGCCAGAATAAGTAATGGAAAGGATGATTCTCAATAGATTACTTCTGAGGATCCAGCAAAGTAAAAGACTCTCAAACATGCATTACGGCTTTATTCCAAATAGAAGTTGCCTGGACCTGCTTAATAAATTGTTCAGTAGTATCCTGCACCACAGGAAGCAAAGGAAAGTTGTTCAGCTGGTGGCCCTAGATCTCAAAGCTGCATTTGATTCAGTTTGGCATGATGGCCTGCTCTATAAAATCATGTAATTCGGAGTTAAAGGAAATAGTAACCTGTGGATTGCCAATTTCTTAAACCAGAGAACTATTAGAGTAAAAATGGAGAGAGGTCCTTTCAAGAAGCTATGAACTTATCAGCGGTGTCCCTCATTTTGTCTCCTATTTTCTTCACAATTTTCATGCATGATATCTATGAAATTATCCCGGCTGATGTCGACTGCTACGTGTGTGCGGACGAGATATTCCTCTACAGTGCAGATGTTTCGTACCCCAAGGTAGTCAGTAATTTGCAGCGTGCGCTGTTCAATGTGCATAGATGGGCTAAAGGGTGGAACTTTCTCTGGGCATTTCCCCAGAGAAAAGTAAATCGATTATTTTCGGTGGGACAAGGAATAGTGAAGAGAATCTTTTGAAGCTTGACGGTATTAGTATCCCTACGAAAGATCCCATTAAAATTCTGGGCATGTGGTTTGATAGTAAATTGAGCTGGAACGTCCATGTTAATAAAACAGTACCGAAACTGGAAAGAATGCTGAATGCTTTTAGTATATAGTATTAATAGAACAGTATTAATTACTTCTATTACTATTGTAATGATGAGTATCATAAAAATTAACTTTAAAGAGCTTTTTCTCAAAACGCTGTTCCTCAGACTTGCGCGCAAGATATCTATGAAACCGCATAAGATACAGCATTGAAATTTACAGCACAAATAAATATCAAGACAGTAATTAAAATAGACTCTTAATTATAAAGATACGTTAAAAAAATTTTCAGTAAAATTGTACGTAAAAAATTAACAAAAAATTATTTTTTAAAAATTAAAGCTCAATTTTATATTTAAAAGTTGAACTAATTAAAAGATTTTACTTCACATGAATAATTAGATCAATAGCTCTAATTCGGCGTTAATTTTCTGCAGATTATGACGAATTTATGCAAGTTATCCTGTGCGCTCAATTGTTGGAGTCTTAGAAAAATAGTTTTTAAAATTATTAAACTTAATTTCAAATCCACTAGATATTTTTTTCCAGGCATATCAATGTCTCATCTAATAGCCCTGAAAAATGTAACAAATATTACTTTCAAGCACGAAGTCCGTGCCTTTCTGTTATAATTTCTGTCATAATATTATAAATATAAAAGACAAAACAATATATTGAACTTACAACAGTGGAATTTCCTAGACTATCTCTATGGTCTAGACGGTCTCTAGACTGTCTTTCAGGTCCTTGAATATTACTTTCCTCCATACAACAGGTTTCCTTAGTTCGTCTATTTTGTTCTCGCTGAAAAAATAAGTCTATTAATTTTAAATGTAGGTCGTAGAGACTGTGGTAGGAAAATGTTTGTATGATATCAAGAAAACAAACTCCGTTACTCAAAGTGTTAGAAATTTGTGTATGTAATTAATCTATGCTTATTTTCAGTGGAGTAAAGTAAGAAATTAATTATGTAAAAATGTTTGAATTCTTAAATACTTAAAGTATTTTGTATGCTTGAAACTGTGCTTTGAATGAAAGTGTAGTCTATGTTACTTATGAAAAGTACTAAAAGAAAGTTAAGATAAATTGAGAATAAATGTAAAGTAAAATGTTAGGCTCTCCAGCCAACTCTAACTTAATTTTCACTAGCGTCAGCACCTCAGGCTGAGATTTAATTGTAGTGTGTCTGTCTAGGTCTAGTTGGTTTAATTCTAACAAGCAAATATGGGGTAGTCGGTAAGTGTTGTACTCGTTTTACACGAAGCACGCTCGCATTTTATGGTACACAATGCTGTAGAGGAAGGAGGAGTCTTAATGTGGATATAAAGATTGAATTGCGTAAATGTACGAAAGGTTGAACTGTTAAAAGAAAAAAAAAACATATTGAAAGTGTGGCAATTGTTAGATATGCGTAAGCACATATTAAATTTTTCTCCTTCCAAGTTAGAACAAGAATTGCTTGAAGAAGGAAGATTTGTAATATGTACTACATTTGTTTATCTATAAATTTAAATTTAGTTAAAATGTAGATTAAGATTTAAAGGTGAACTCGCATGTAAATTTAGAACTTAGCTATCTTATTCAGGCATTTAAAGCCTTGTTATGCGATAATTAATTCTGGTGAG